TGGCGAAAAGACTGCTTGCAGGGAGCGGCCCCGGGCTGCGTCCGCTGCAGGAGGTGCACGCTGATGAAGACGTTCTCCGGCAGCCAGCAGACGAAGAAGACCAGCACCACCGCGAGGATCATGCGGAGTGCCTTCTGCCGCCGGGGCCGCAGACCGCGGTGCCGGTGTGCCCTGACCAGCACCCGGACAATGAGGGAGTAGCACAGGCCGATGATGGCGAAGGGCACAATGAAGCCCAGCGTGACCTCGAGCCACTGCACCTCCCGGACGTCTGCGAAGCAGAAGCAGGCCTCGTCGGTGTGCTGCAGGTGCACGGCGGTGAAGGGCACCAGCGTGGCTGACACAGATGCCATCCAGATGAGGCCACAGCTCAGCCGGGCGTGGTGCTTGGTGCGGAACAGGCTGCAGCGCATGGCCCTGGCCAGGGCGATGTAGCGGTCGAAGCTCATCCAGGTGAGGAAGAAGACGCTGCTGTACATGTTGACCTGCAGGAACAGCGACATGAAGGTGCACAGCACGGCGATGTCATAGTACTGCTCGTGCAGGTTGAACACCTCAATGAGGGAGTCGGCCACCAGGATGAGGTCCGCCACCGCCAGGTTGATGAAGTACAGGTCGGGGATGGTCATCTTCTCCCGGAAGCTGATGTTCACCACCAGGATCAGGATGTTGCCCACAAAGCCGATGGGGAAGAGGAAGATGGTGTAGAGGCACGAGAGGAACAGGCCGATCACGTACTGCTGGTGCTCTGAGAGCTCGCCTGTCCCGTTCACCACGGCAGCGCCCAGGAGCGGGTGGGACAGGTTGAGCTCGGGGGAGGTGGTGTTGGGGGCTGCAGGCTGCATGGTGCCCGGGTACATCTCCAGGCCCATGCCCCAGGCTTGGGAAGTCACATCCATGTCTCTGCACCGTGCAGCTTTCAAGATTTGCCAAAAGGCTCCCAGAGCTCTGTTTTAAACAGCGAATCCATCTTTAGAAAGAAGCGTGATTCTCCCTGAAGTGAGCCCAGCATTTGTTAGACAGGAAACTCCCGAGGAGCACCTGTGGTGGTTTGGGTTGGGTTTGTGAACTGCAGAGAGTGGGAGGAACAGATGCTCCGCACGCTGGCATGGCACGTCTGTGGAGGCCAGGGTCCTCCGCGTGCTCGTCCGGCGGGCGTCCCTGCAGGTGTCAGCCGCCGTGCACTGTCCTGCGTGGAGACGCTCACTCTCTGGGTACCTGGAGAAGCAACAGGAGAGGATGAAGCCTCATTGAGTGGCCCCAGCTTTGGGATAAGGCCCGCTGCCCCTGACTGGGTGTCTGTAGAGTCTGGGTGTGTCACTGGGGAGGCCAGAACCTCAGCTTTATGGGCTCAGGAGGTGGCTGTGGTTGAGCTGAGGTGGAAGAGTCACCTGTGGGGAGTACACGGCCTTCTTTCCTGCAGGCCCCACGGCCACTCGGCTGCAGCTGGAGGTTGGACGTGGAGAACCCCCACAGGCAGGGTGTTCTCTCCCTTTATAGCCACAGAGCAGGCCTAGGAAGCAACAGGGGTGTGGGCTTGGCCACCCCAGAAAATGGCGTTTGTGAGGAGAGGGGAAAATGCATTTCAGCCGCTGATGGAGAAGTAAAACAGGAAGGGAGAGCCCGGTGTCTCTGAAAGACAGGGGGTCCGGAGAACTGGACATTGGAGCAGAATCATCTCTTACAATAAAATAGATCACAGACGTTCAGGGGTTTCCTCATGCTAGTTCTATGTTTAGGTACCAAAAATGAAACTTATTTTTGTAATATAGAGTGAAAGGGGTCATTGTTTTGGGAAATAATATTTTAAGTTTTTATTCCATGTTTTAGTAAATTATTGTAAAACCTAATATATGTTTGCAATGCTGTTTATAACCTAGGAAGAAACTAAGGAGAGAGTCCCTCCTGAGCTTGGCTTCTGCAGGGAGGGAGGAGTGGGCCGTCTGTCCATGGCAGTGCTCTCGCCCTGCTGCGAGTGGGGAGGGTCCTGTCACCCGCCCCGTGTCACCCCGGCCCTGTCACCAGTGGGGAGGGTCCCGTAACCCACCCCGTGTCACCCTGGCCCTGCCGTGAGTGGGGAGGGTCCTGTCACCTGCCCCATGTCACTCTGGCCCTGCTGCCAGTGGGGAGGGTCCCGTCACCTGCCCCGTGTCACTGTGCTCCCAAAAGTTCTCTCTGCAGCAGGCCACGGTCTTAGCCTGCAGACACTGGCGGTCTCTGGGGACCTGGGGGCTGTCACAGCTAGGGGGGTGCTGGTGGGGCCAGGGCTGCCGCCCAGCTCCCTACAGTGCCTAGGACAGGTGCCCAAGCCCAGCAGAGAATTACCCAGCCCAGATGGCGCTGGTGCCCTGGAGTAAACTAACACTTCAAAATGGGTTTGAGTTGTTTTTCCTTTGGGAGTTTTCATTTCACCCTTTGAAATCATTAGGAGTTATTGTTTTGAATGTGTTGTGTTTTTTTTTTGTCACCCAGGCTGGAGTGCAGTGGCATAATCTCAGCTCACTGCAACCGTTGCCTCCAGGGTTAGAGTGATTCTCCTTCCTCAGCCTCCCGAGTATCTGGGATTACAGGTGTGCACCACCACACCTGGCTAATGTTTTATATTTTTAGTAGAGACGGGGTTTCACCATGTTGGCCAGGCCTGTCTCAAACTTCTGACCTCTAGTGATCCGCCCACCTTGGCCTCCTATGGTACTGGGATTACAGGTGTGAGCCACCGTGGCTGGCCGGGGCTTGTTGTTTTGAAGTGCTACAAAACCAGACTAGTGATTTATTGACCTATCGCTTGAAAATACTTCTTTTTTTTAAAAAAAAAAAAAAGGCTGGCCTATAATCCCCGCACTTTGGGAAGATGAGGTGGGAGGATTGCTCAAGTCCAGGAGTTCGAGACCAGCCTGGGCAACATGGCGAAACCCTGTCTCTACTAAAAAAGTACAAAAAAAGTAGCTGGGCATAGTGGTGTGCCCCTGTAGTCCCAGCTACTCGGGAGGCTGAGGTGGGAGGATCGCCTGAGCCCGGCAGGTAGAGGCTGCAGTGAGCCGAGATCACACCACTACACTCTAGCCTGAGCAACTGGAGTGAGACCCCATCTCAAAAAAAGGCGGGTAGGGGAAGACAAGATGAATCACTGCCTCAGTGTCACTTATTCTAAAAGTACTCAATCACCTTCACTTAGCTGGGGCTGATGAATTTGATTTTAGTATTTTGCACTCTTGATTCCTCTTTAGTAGATAATACCATCGAGCAGCGTAAACGCCTCTGCTCTCAGGCTCTGTAGGGAAAGTTGAAAGACTTCGCATTCAGCCTCTATATTTAATTTCTTTAAAACGGCACAGAGGACTTCTTTTGCTCTTTAAATGTAGAAATTCTGGAAGGTATTAGACTGCAGCGTGGTAGGAAGCTTAAAGGTGGACAGAACCCTTAACTTATGTTTGTTTTCTTTACTTATTTTGTTAAATGAACTCCGAGGGAAAAATAGTTTAAAACCAAGTCATTCATTTCTTTCCCACGTAAATCGAGTTGTTTAATCCTTGGCAGACACCAAGAAGATACGGGACCTGGTGTCTGATGTGTCCTAGTGTCGATGTGGTCCTGGGCTCGGAACCGAGTGTGCCGTTCACCACTGGCCCCGTGTCCTCCCTGGAGGTGTCCGTGGAGTTATAAACAGCGTGATACCTCATTTCAGATTTCCTCTGCTTGTCATAGAGAAATAAAGCCACACTTTAGTCAGCTGTTAAGTCTGCATCTGTCAAAAGGCGTGTGGCCCTCCCAGGACTTCAGGGTTGGTGAGAGTGACCGGGGCGCCGCAGGGCAGGGCAGAGCGGGCACCCTCATTTTCTTGAAGTGAGACACGTTCTTGCTGGGACAGAACATGATGGAATACTGGGTCCTACTTTCAGCATGTGTTAGAAAGGCCATCCAGGCAAAGCCCCTGCTGCGGTCATGCTGAGACCACCGGAGCTCCGTGGGAGAGGGGTCTGTAAAGCCCTCTGCTGTTGTGGTCACGCTGAGACCACCGGAGCTCCGTGGGAGAGGGGTC